CAAGAAAAGTGATGACGAACGAAGTGAGGGCGATTTATCACGTTCAGGAAAAGTTTTATGAACATCATCACGTTTAAGTCTGAGCGAGTGACATTCCTGCATTTCGATGGATTCGTATCACGGAAATAACCGTATTGCGCCAGTTATGTTCGTTATTTAAAGAGGATAAGCGGAATTAGAGCTTAGGTTGAAAGTAGAATTAAGATGACAAATTTTATGAGTGGAAGACTGCACCTGAAATAATCCTCGAGTTTTGACCGCTGCTGTAACTCTAAAAGTACTAATGTGGCACTTTCCACGTCAAAATCTAGTGTGCTTAGTTTTCAGAGGTCTTGGTCCCAAACTGCTTGGTGTGTTCCCCGGTGGTCGATTTGAACAGTTTATTCCTTCTCGTCCTTTAACAACAAAAGAAATTGGCCTTCCTAGGTTGAAACAGTTTATCAGTTTTTCCTTCAAATTTTTAGCTAATACCAACCACGCTGGTGCTCAGGAACACTATTACGTCAAAGACATGAAATTGGTCAAACGGCTAAAAATTATAGTGTTGCAAGACGAGTAGGACAACTATTAGCCCGTATTCATGCGCTGGATGTTCCGGTTGCAAAAAGACCTACATTGACAGATGTAGCCGAATCTTACTTGTGTAAACTCAGGAAACTCAATCGACGAATGATCCATAAAATGAAAGGCAATATGGTTAAGGCAAACGCTAGCTTAGTACGTCCTTTTTTCAAAAATTCCAAGCATTTGAAGAATATACTTACGATTAACAAACGTTAGTTCTCTTACTCATTCTCCTTCTGTCAATTGACAGTTTTTTCCAGATGTAATTAGCTGTTTGTGATAATTTTTTTGCCCTATTAAAAAGGCGATACAGGTCCGATTGAAAAACTTATAAGTCCTAATATTTCAAGCGCAGTTTTATAAAATCATTTTCTATAAAATTATTCCTGTGTTTTGAATAAAATGGTAGAGAAAATCTTTTTAATACAGAATTGCTATTGCAGTTTTCCAGCAGACTTAGTTTTTGAATTTCCTCGGAGATATAATATCCTCACCACACTCGTAGCGGCTTTGTTGGCTTTTTTAATCCATAATCTCCCATCCTTTTTTCCAAGTTGTTTCATTTGACAAAGTCAATTTTATTTTACATCGCTTCTACCTTAAACTAACTAGAACTTAAATATTTTGGCTTTTTTATTAGTTTATTCAAACAATCTTTCTTATTTTAGCACAGCCTAACTCGTAATTACTTTTTTTATTACTCCAGGACTTTCAATAACCTGAAAATGAAAACTTCATTTTTTTTCCAGTGTCCTAAAGAAATAAACTGTGATGTACTGGCAACTGAACTTGATATAATGAAACAGTGCTTAGCAAAAAGTGGGAGCCCCGTTGTCTTTTCTCATAATGACCTGCAGGTTCAAACAGCTTTAAACCATTTTTATACTAAACATAACTTTTACATAAATTGTATATTTCAAATGGCTCTTTGCTTAGGAACTGAATATACTGTTGCATGAAAAGTACACCCTGGACTCTAAAGGAAACTTGAATGCGACAGACGATGAAACACCATTTGCACTGATAGATTTCGAGTACTCAAGTTATAATTACAGGTGCACAGCTTCTACTGCCGATATAAATAATGAGTGTTGAGTAGTGCACCAGTAAAACACTAGAAAGTTTGATAAGCGCAGTTCCCACTTCCGAACTAAACTCGAGAAAGAAAAATTTATGCATTTCATCTTCCCTGTTTTATTGCAGAGGCTTTGATTTTGCAAATTTCTTATGCGAGCATATGATTGATTATTCTAACAAAAAACCACCTTACTACACGATAGATCGAGGAAGTTTGCCAGCCGAAACCCAACAACGTCTTTTGATAAACGCGTATTTGGATGAAATTGAGAAAGTAATTGCTTTTACCTTGTTCTACAACTTTCATTTTAATTGGTCACAAAATCAGATTATGCGGCCATCAAATTAATATATATTCAAAGGGCAGTTAACCACAGAGTAATGTAGAATTTGAAATACTCTACAGCGGGGAAGCTTTTTCAAAACCAACTCACAGTTTAAGAGATTATTATTAGGATTTACGACTACAGTAAATGGAAAAATCACATTATAGGTAGCAAGAAATGAACAAGACGATTCTTGCAAAGAAAACAAGGAACGAATTCGAGAAGCACACGTCCGAGAGCTGCTGACAGAATCCCGAAGATTTTTGGCAGTTTCACATCTCTACTGGAGTATATGGTCATTCGAGTTGGCTGAGGAGTCACCGATTGAGTTCGACTACGTTAGTTACGGTATTGACCGGCTAGTGCTCTACTATATCCATAAGCAAGATTTATTGGAATTCCTTCAAAAACATTAATGACGTTATGAACTGCATATATGGCTGCCTTTCAGTGTCTGTTTTGCACTCTCCATCTTGTCAGGTTACTCAAAGTTAGGACATCCTTGCTACAACTTTGACGGGAAAAAAATTCTTTTTTTCAAAATTCTGATTTTATAAGTAGTTAGT